ATGCATGGCAAATATAGCTAGCTACATAATTTTTTTGTACACTTTGCCATTTGTCTTTTGGCTGTGAAATCAAAGTCAGTGTTTAGGTGGTTAAATGTATCAACCTTTTCCTCTATGGCTATTAAATTTTGTGTCATGCTTAAAAAGAATGTCTTTATCCCATGATGATATAAGTATTTACCCATATTTTCTTCTACAAGCTTTTATTGTTTCACTGTTAATATGAAAATGATCCATCAGGTTTAATTTGATATGTAGGAGCAAGGCAGGGTTCCAGCTTGACTTTTTTCCAGGTGAATAGCCATTGTCTTGGTGCCATTTATTGAATTCTTCCTCTTTCCATACACTCATTTAAAATGTCTTTGTTGCGTACTAGATTCTAATATGTATTTGGGTGTATTTCCACTTTCTCTATTCTTTCTCTAGTCATGAACTACTTGGATGGCTGTAGTATTTTGTTGTTTTGTTTCATTTTTTGAGATAGTGTTACAGCAAGCGTTACAGCGGGTGGTCCCGAGGACAAACCCAGCGGCACATGGAGAGTCGGAGAATCAAAGTTTATTCCGGCGGGCTCAGAGGGGTCTTGCCACCAAATTCTGAGCCCCGTCTACTTGATTTTTCCCACTTTTATTAAGTTGGGGTGGTCCAAGGGGTGGGATATCAGGTGGCCAATGCCTGCCAGGTAATAGGTTAGTTGATGTGTCAGGTAATAGGTTAATATTATGTTGATGCACCAGGTAATAGGTTTAGTGTTCTGTTGATGTGCCAAGTAATAGATTAGTGTTATGCTGATGCACCAGGTAATAGGTTAGTTGATGGGCCAGGTAACAGGTTAGTATTATGCTGATGCGGGTCTTCCTGAGGGGTGGGGGTCTCGGGTGGCTGATGTGCCCAGTAACACATGGGGGTTTTCCTTATCAATAGGGGTCTCACTCTGTCACTCAGGCTAGAGTGCAGTGGCCTGATCGTTGCTCACTCGAATTCCTGGGCTCATGCCATCCTCCTGCATTGGCCTCTCTAGTAACTAGGACTATAGGTGCGCAACACCACCCCTGCCTAATTTTTAAAAAATTTTTTTGTAGAGATGGGGGTCTCAATATATTGCCCAGTCTGGTCTCTCTAACTCCCAGCCTCAAGGGATCCTCCTGCCTCAGCCTTCCAAAGCGAGGGGAACATGTTACAGAGGGAATGGCCTGAGAAAATGGCAAAAATATTTTCTGTCTCTTTAAAACATTCGCTCCTCCTTTTTGAGAACTAAAACCTGCATCTCTGCCTTAGGCCAGTGGTTGGGAGGGGCAGGGTAATGTCTTTTGTTCTTTGTGCTACAGGAGACAGCTCCTTGGAGCTGTCACATTCCCTGAGCGGCCTAGAGGTCCTGGAGGTCTAGGTGGCCCTGCCAGGGGGATGGAGGTCACAGGATTGTCTTGCGGGGAGATGGGACATCAGATCTTCCACTGTAGTTGAACGGCAATTGCCTGAAGCTGAATGGCCTTCCTTTAAAAGCTCTGTATGTCTGCTTATTGGGAGGACAATGGCATTTTTCAGACTGTAGTCTCCATCCTCCTCCTTTGCTGGCAAATTCATAAATCTCTCTTTCCTTCTCCTCAAACCACTTGTCCTCGTTCTTCTGATGTGGTCTCAAGGGCAAGTGCTGAGCTTTTGGTAACAATTGCAGGCCTGAGCCACTGAGCCCTGCCCCATTTGTTTGTAAAAGTTATTTTTATTACCTAACAGGGCATTGGCAGTTTATCAGTTTAAACCAAGGCTAGGGTTTAAAAGCCTGATATGTGGAGAGAGGAAGGGTCTGGGAGTCAGAAAGACCTGGATTTCAATCGCAGATACAGTTTATCAGCATCTTTTTTTTTTTTTTTTTAGTTTATCAGCATCTTTAAAAAAAATTTTTTTTAAGCATAAGGTTGGAGCTTTGCGCAGTGGCAGTGTCGTAGCCCATGAGGTTTATCCGAGGTGTGATTATTGTTA